AAGTATGATTATAAAATTATAATATTACTGATGAAAGCACAAAGCTTAGTAATCAAAAGTTTAAGAACTTTAAGAGCTATCAAAAATATAGTTATTTAGTATATTGATATTTTTAATTTATAAGAGTTTTGGCTGTTGCTTTAAAGTTGAAATATCTAGGATCTTACTGGGGCAGGTTGTTCTAGGTGTTTGACTAAATGGAAAACGTTGCAGTGTTTTAGGACTACCCTTTGAGTTTGTAAATTTCAACTCAACCTTTGAAGGCACATCAACTTGTAATTTACCAATATCTGCTGTGAAACAAAAGAAAAAATTTTCCATGACTTAATGTGATTCCATTAACATATTTAATTTAAAACTACATTTACATTTACCTTCTGCTTGACCATTACTTTTTCCTGGAAGTAGTTGATATCTTTCTAAATAACGCATTGTGGCAAAAGACATATTTGTACCTTGTACATTGCTAACCATAAGATGTTTTACAGATGTAGAACCTTGCCTTTGTACTGCTAGTTCAGCAAGTTGTTCATCGGTTAGATACTTTAAAGCTAGTGCTTTCATATGCATACTTGTATTTGTTTCATTTACAGCACTTGTAGCATGTGACATATTTGCTTGATAATCCAAACGTGGATAGAATGATAAGTCAAATGCCATCCTTTTAAATAAATTATTAAAATTATTCACTATACATAATATAGATTCAATTATTCAGAGTAATGTCACACAAATTTATCTTAAATAATAAACAAAAATTGAAAATAAATAAATAATACATGTAGATGCTAAGATTACAATGATTAGGTATGTTTAGTAAATTATAAAAACATTGACTAAAATTTAAATTAAATTACATATTTACATTACTCAGATTAAATAACATAATTATATTATTATTTAGATTAGCAGAATTTAGACAATTTAAACTACTAAATAAACTTAGATAAATGTGAAACGTACTTGTTGCTATTGTTCAATTCTTTAGCTTCTGGGTTTTCACTTAAACTAATTCCAAGTTTTTTAAGTTGTTCTAATGTAGCTACTTTTACAGTATCTAATACTGCTCTATTTTCAGTCTCATCTCGTTCATTTTGATTTACTTTTGTTTGATTTTGTTGTTGATCATCTATAACACAAGAGTTTTGTAATAATTGGTTTACTTGTCCAAGAACATTGTTATAAAATGTCCACCCCACTTTTGAACTACGTTTAACTTTTTCACTATCATCATCACTAGAATACTCATGCATTTCAACATGAATACTAGGCTCTGGAGTGGGAGGTGGCCTTTCATTTATTTTCAAGTCACCACCATTTAAAATTAAACTATCTTCAATACAATTATTCTGTTTAGAAATTTTTCTTTCTTTTCGATAATCTTTATAATAATCTGAATTATCTACAGAATTAGTTCCTTTTACATTATCTCTTTGTATATTTGATTTTTTATATTGATTTGTATTAGGGACAGGATTTATCTTATAATTTTTATTTTCTAGAGCATTATATTCAGTATTTACAGTATTTCTTTGTACTATTGGTGTTTTTACAGTTTCATAATTTCTTATTTCCTCTGTACAAGTTCTTTCTAAATGTTGTTTTGTATTACCCTCAGTTTCATTTAATTTTGTAGCTACACGTTTACATAATTTAGGAGATCTAGATCTATGAGTATCTGTTTCTCTTCGAATATCCATATAAGCTTGTTTTTCTAAATCTTTTATAGAAGTACTTGCATTTAAATTACTACTTTGTTGTTGACTAGATGATATGTAACTTTCTGAGTCTTCAACTATATTTTCCAATTGTGCACTAGGCATTCGAGTAAAAGAATTTTTATATCTTCTTAAAGATTCATTAGTGTCCTGAAAACCAATATTATTACACATTTTTAAATTTTCTTGCTTGTGTTGACTATCTTTTTTCTCATAATCCTCAATATCTACAGTAAAAGGACTGTTTTGTACAGTGAACTCAAAACTTGTCATTACACCAATAGAAACTTTTTGTTCCATAAATGTTTTTTTTGATTGTCCATCTGTTAATATTAATTCTTCTTGATTCAAATTTTCATTTTCATTACAATTTTCTTTCCTTTTATCCTTGAAGGGATCGCTTTGATATGCAGTTTTTTTTGTGTTTTCTGATATAGTAACATAGTTTGAAGCATTTACAATATCATTAGAGTCTGTATGTAATTGATCACTTTGTTGCTGCAATTGAAATGAACAAGAACATCTTTTTCTTTCCTTCAAATTTTCTTCTTGTATTTTCAGTAATCTATCTACTTGTGTCTGTAGAGATTTAATTTGCTCATTTTGACTATTTATAATCTGTAATAAATTTTTTACTGTTTCTTGATTATCTGTATTCTGAGTAGAATAAGGTTGAAGTTGGGGAAATGGATATGCATTCATATTAAAATATCGGTTCTGTTGCCCCACATAATGTGGCAATTGAAATTCATTCCTATTCAAACTATTTGGATTAATAGTTCGATTTTGTAAGTTCGGTTCAGTGACTGAATCATTGAATGGTACCTTTTGCTGTTTAGAATTATGAGTTGCTAATTTTCTTTCATATAACAATGGAGAATATTCATTTTCATTAAGAATATAATGATCAGTGCTAATGCAATGTTGAGCTTTTATGCTTTGTTTTTTTTCAGTATGTGCTGTACTATCTTCTGAATTTTCATAATAATATTTACAGGAACGATCATCACTTTCTCTATGTTTTTTTCCCTCATACCTTGAAGCATTATGACTATCTTTCTTCAGAGTGTAATTCTTTCCTTTAGATCTATTTAAAGCATCTGTAGTGTTATCTTCTGCTAAGTAAGAATGTACCATATAATTTTGATTTGATTGTGCTTTTTGTGGAATTGTATAATCATTAATTTTAGAAGTTGGAGGGTTCCATGAATAATTTTGTTCTTTCCATGCAGCATATGACGCATTAATATTTAAAGGAGATGAAATCTTATTTTTGAGCATTAAACTTTTAGATGCCACAGGTGCTGACTGAAAATCTGTATGTTCTATAGTCTTGCAACTTAAAGGTTTATCAAATATTAAAGAAACTTCAGGAACAGATGGTACTGTAAAGCGCTAAAATTAAAAATGTTAAAAGTTAAATACATTGATATAAATTGTTGTTAAAACGTAATTAATTTCTTAATTAAAATGCATTGTTCTACTTAGTTCTCAAATTTAAATTAATTACAAATAATGATATTAAACACTAATCCTTAAAGTTAAATGATATGTATTTTCAACATAAATGGTTTGATGTTAAACTCTATTGCCTTTATGCATTATTTTACATTTTATAAAAAAAACTTACATTAAGTTTAGATGCAGGTTTCGGTGTAATTCGTGGTTCAAATTCATCTTCATCATTGCAAAAATGATGCATATTTCAATTTAAACTAATAATTTTAATCTGTTTATTCGTTTATTTCCACATGTACATTATAATCATTAATGTTATCGTTAATATTTTACAATTATCTAAATTTTTTTATAAATATCTTGTAAATCACTTTTCT